GGTCATTTGCTGCGGAAAAGGGAGCTGCAAACACTGAGGGTGCGGCAGGAGGAGCCTCCCCATTACTGCAGGATCTGGAGGCTCTCCGCCCCCTCCTAGCTCAGCCTGCCTGGACCCAGGCTGGGGCTGGTCAGGCGCCACTGGGTACCGCAGAAGCCCTAGCAGCCACAGCAAGGTCAGCAATCAAGGGCAGTCCTCCCTCACAGAAACGGTGGGCCGCCGCAATGACTGTGGTAATGACTGACTCAGGAACCACGGGTGGGCACAAAGCTTTCCCCGCCAAACACTTACTCATCGCAGAGGGAAACGAAGTCAGCTCAGGACGGAGGAATCTCCAGACATAAAGGGCACTGGGCCCACCGTCAGGAATCAGTGACCACAGGTGAGGCCAAATACCAGGCGAGCCCACAGTGAGGGCCAGCTGTCTCCTGACACTGCCAGGAAGGGAGAGGCTGAGGCTCAGGCCACCTGGACATGGTGCCCAGCTCAGGGCTAGTCCTGACCAGCCTGGAAAAGTAGCCACAGGGCAGTGCGTGGTGGGGCGACTGTCCACTGATGACCCACTGGGCACACAAAGGTGTGCCTCTCCCAGCCCTCACTCTGCATCCACTGAGTTCAGGGCCTGCTCACGGTGGGAAAGGGGACCCTGCTGTCTTCAGACACATGTAGCACACAACAAAGCTGGCACGTCACCCACGGGCAAACGCCCCGCACTCAGAGCCCTCGTCTCACACTCTGCAGGATGCTGGGACGAGGACACAACTGGCCAAAGGACAGAAGGAGACCTCGGTCCTCTCTATACCATGGCTGCCATCCAAGCCCCCAGCTCCCCTCCTGCCGCACCCTCACTGTTTGCAGCTCCTCTCTCCTGTAGCAAATGACCTGGTCCTGTTGTCCTCAGGTCCATCCCACACTCTTACAGGACGGAGGTAAAACACCAGGAGGCCCGAGAAAAGTCAGCTGTGAACCAGAACACAGAGCCGCGTTCTGAGCACTGAGCTTCTGTCACGGTCAGACCGCCCGCCCCATGATGCAGACAGCCAAGGGGGCAGCCACCGAGTGTGACCGGGCTCACCTCCTCTAGGCGTCGGCTCGTCCTTCCTTCTGCCGTGGCATGGAGGCCTCAGGCTGCCACCCGGATGTGATGACCCCTCCTCGTGCTGCTCTCTGGTTTGCTTCTGCACCTTCCTTCTGGCCCTGGCTCTTTTTCCATTTTCTAGCACAGAAACGGGTACCTGTTACTGCATGCCACGTACGTGACTGTACACAATCCTATCACCAACAGAGGCGGAAAGAGAAAGGACAGAGGGAAAGTGAGATGTCGCCCCCGGGGGGGACGGCATGCTACATCCCTTCTCCTCCTCACAGGATATCAGACACACACACGTCCAGTGTATTTTCCAAGCCACCAGGTCTGGGACTCGAACCGCACACTCAGCCATGTGGAATCTAGTTGCTTTAACTATCACATCACCTGGCTGGCCCCAGCCCATCATTGAGTTCTTACTAAAATTCTTTTTTTTTTTTTTTTTTGAGAGAGATTTTTGCTGTAAAGCACGTGCACTTGCCGGAGAGACTGAGAAAGAAAGTGAGAAATCACCCCCTGGGGGATAGACATATTGTAATCCCTTCTCCTCCATTCTCCTCTTGGGATTTTTGGGCATGCACACACACACAAAATCTAGTGTGAGTTTTAAGCCTCCGGGTCCAGGATTCCAACTGTGGTCAACTACATGGGAGTCCAGTGATGTAACCATTATGCCATCTGCTGGTCCCAGAAGATTTCTTTTTTTTTTTTTTTTTGGACAGGTTTTTGCTATAGAGCACGTGCGCTCACCAGAAAGACAGAGAGAAAGAGAGAGACAAAGTGAGAAATCACCCCCCATGGGGGCTGGCCACGCCACAATCCCTTCTCCTCCATTCTCCTCTCAGGATCTTGGGCACAAAGGCACACACGACTGGCATGAGTTTAAGACACCAGGTCTGGGACTCAAACCGTGGTCGACTACATGAGATTCCAGCAACACAGCCATTACTCCAACTGCTGGTCCCTCCAGTAGAATTCTTATACAAATCATACATAACAAACTTTCAGAGTCAGTCTTACTGTTTGCTATGCAGGACTTTTCTAAAAATGTAAAAATTCGTAAATAAAATATATAAGAGTCAGTAGTCAGAGATTCTATTTTAAAGGAACTGTAAGGAAGTGACTTATTCCATGGCTACAGTATATTCACGAAGTATAATTCAAGGTAAGGTTCATCGGTTTACCCAAAGAGGAAATTAGCGTAAACCGCACGTACCTGTGAACGGCAGCCTGGAATCTCTCTACATCGTGAAGCCTGTGGAGAAGCACAAGACAGGGATCACTGGCCTGCAGACACCCCATGACACTCCCCGGGCCTGTCAGCAGCACCGAGCCCTGCTTAGTTCAACAGGTCTCTTCATTACCTGCTTAAAACAACTAGAAGAAAAGTAAGAGTGAGTGACTGTGAAGAGTCAGGCCTGACCACGGGCACAAGCAGGTCCCAGAGGCAGCTGGTAACCCTGAGGCTCGGCCCAGAGCATCAGAAACAGAAGGAGCAGAGAGACAGCTCATGGGGGACTGGGGACAAGAGGGTCTCTGTCATGCAACTCTGGGGCCCAAGAAGGCAGGACTAGGATCTGTGGAAGCCCAGGCAGAAGGGTGGATTTCACAGGAGATGTGCAGGAGGTGGGCCCAAGGGCAGGACAGTCATGGGCTCACCTTGTTACTCAGCTCATGGCTGCATGCGAGTACTCACCACACACCCTGCACATAAGTGCTGTCACACACTCACCCACTGCCCAGCACATGTGCATCAAGGGCCCCGCTGGGCACTCTGTGGAGCTGGGTCTCAGTGGGAGAGATAGTGAGGGTGTTGGGGACCAAAGAGGGTGTGCACATAAGTGCTGTCACACGCTCACCCGCTGCCCAGCACATGTGCATCAAGGGCCCTGCTGGGCACTCTGTGGAGCTGGGTCTTGGCGGGAGAGATAGTGAGGGTGTTGGGGACCAAAGAGGGTGTGGGCGCACTTGCATGGGCCTGGGGCCTCCGTAGGCAGAAGCTGGTGAGCACGGTGAGGGTGACCACGTGAGAATGCTGCCTCCGGGACTGGGCGTGTGGATGGCCGCTATTCTGTGAGGACTGGTCCAAATGACAGCAAAAATTCAGTCACTGGAGAAGGGCAGGAGCTAAGCTTGGGGAGGCGTTAGGGCTGAGATGCTGTGAGATGTCTGATTTAATGATGATAAATACAGCCTAGAAACACCTGAGCCTAATATTTAAGCAATGTTTATCTTATAGCTAATTTATTTCATTTTTCAGTCTTCAAGCTTTTCCATAACTGCCTGTATTAATGCATCTTCGAAGATGAGTCAACTTTTGTAAAGAAGAGAGGGAGGAGGAAGGAAAGAACAGCTAACCTTCCCGGGCAGATACAGGGAAGATAAATGGTCGTATTTAAAGCACTTAGAGGGAAACCGACGAAGAGGGTGACACAGGGAAGGCGAGAGCTGCCCAGAACTCTGTGATGACAGAGGCTGCCCCGACTCCAATGCCCAGGTAGTGGCCACTGATTGCTGGCTGCTGAGCACCTGCAATGTGGCTCACGTGATGGAAGAATCAAACTTTCACATATGTTTCATTTTATTTGAACTGTGGCCAGAGGTTACTTTTCTGGGTGCAGTTACAGTCTCTTGCTGTGAGTTCTTAGATATCACTGGACGCAGACACAAATCTCTAGAGCCTACGCTCTGATGGAAGAAGCAGACAATAAATAATAAATACGATGAACAGGTAAATTATTTAGTGCGTTAGAAAGTACCAAGTACTACGGGCAAACGAGCAGGGAGGGAGGGCGGAGCACTGGCGGCAAGGCCCAGCAGGAGAGCGGTGACAATCCCACTGAGGGCGGCAGCAGTGGCAGAAGCAGTAGCGGAATATTACGAACAACTTTATGACAAAAAAAGGTAAATGAATTAGACGAATTCCTAGAAAAATAATTCACCAGAACTGAGGCCCGCAAAGTAACACAAAGGTTGTCTTAAGTTGTCGTTAAGGAAGCTGACTAATAAATTCCTTCAAAGAAGTTTCATTTCAAGAGTTTTCTTTCTTTTCTTTTGTTTGGGAGGAGAGAAGTTTTTGCTATAGGGTGTGAGCACTAGCCAGAAAGACAGAGAGAGACAGAGAGACAGAAAGTGAGAAACCACCCCCCAGGGGGGGTGGCCATGCCACAATCCCTTCTCCTCCATTCTCCTCTCGAGATCTTGGGTATGCACGCACACGTGCCCGGCATGAGTTTAAGCCACCAGGTCCAGGACCCGAACCGCAGTTGACTACATGGGAATCCAGTGACATAGCCATTACGCCAACTGCTGGTCCCCATTTCAAGAGTTTTCTACCAAACGTTCAAGGAACAATCAATCCAGTCACCAACAAACCTGCTAATAGTAATAGTAATAATAATAATAATAATAATAATAATAATAATAATAATAATAAAAAAGCATTTCCTAAAGGCCAGCTGTTAGCATGGTAGTTACAGTGGCAGGATCCCACATGGCCAACTGTGCTGTGCACAGCAGCTTGAAAATAGTGAAGGCACATGTGCACAAATCCCAAGAGAATAATGGAGAAGGGACTATGCATGGCCATCCCCTGTGGGAGCTGCTTTCTCACTTTCCCTTGCTCTCTGTCTCTCTTTGGGGAGTTCTTTGGTAAGTATATTCACTCCATAGCAAAATTGAGAGAAGCAGGCGTTTTCTAAATAATATTATGAATGAACATAACATATATGACAAGCCCTGGGGAGGTCAGACTGGAAGGCAAATCACAGACTGATCTCACTGATAAACATAAATATAAAACTCCTAACCAAATGTTAGTTACTCTATCTAACAATATATAAAAAGGGTAATAATTCTTGACCAAATTAGGTTTTTACAAGGAAAATAGTGTCATTTATGACAACAATTAAAAGGAGAAAAGTCATAAGATCTTCCCAAATAGATGCATAAAAATTATTTGATAAAATTCAATACCTATGCATGATTTTTAAAAAAACTTAGTAAACTAAGAATAGATGTAAATATCTTTAACCAAATAAAAATTATTTTTAAAAGTTTACTTATCAGTCAGATCCCACATAACTAATTGTGGTTGGAATCCCAGCCCCAGTGACTTGAAAAACACTCCGGGCACATGTGTGTATGTGTGCCCAAAATCTTGACAGGAGGGAGAAAGGGAGAAGGGACTGTGATGTGACCACACCCCACTGGGGAGAGTGCTTTTTCCCACTCCCTTTTCCTCTCTCTCTCTCTGAGAAGTGCACATACTCCGTGGCAATTAAAAAAAAAGGTTTGGGGGCCAGCAGGTGGCATAGTGGTTGGGTGCTAGAATCCCACATGGCCAACAGCTGTTCGTTTGAGTCCTGGATCTGGCAGTTGGAAAATCATGCTGGGCACATGTGCATGGGTGCCCAAATACGGAGAGGAGAATGGAAGAGAAGGGACTGTGGTGTGGCCACCCCTCCTGGGGGTGTGATTTCTCACTTTCCCTCTCTAGTTCTCTCTGATGCACTCATGTGCCCTATGGCAAAAACCTATAAAAATGTTTATTTAGGGAACCAGCAGTTAGCGTAATGGCTATGTCGCTGGACTCCCACGTAGTTGACCGTGGTTTGCGTCCCGGACCCGGTGGCTTAAAACTCACGTCGGGCACGTGTGCGTGCGTGCCCAAGATCCCGAGAGGAGAATGGAGGAGAAGGGTTTGCGGTGTGGCCATCCCCCCTGGGGGGTGATTTCTTGCTTTCTGTCTCTATGTCTCTCTCTGTCTGTCTGGCGAGCATATGCGCCCTATTGCAAAAAACCTCTCTCTCAAAAAAAAAAGTTTATTCATTTATTTCTTGAGAGAGAGAGACAACACCCCCGACAGGGTCTCAATGCCACAGTTTGCCATCAGCTTCAGCCAGCCCTGGGTCACGGGCACACAAGTGTCCAGCATACTCGGGAGGTCTCTAGACACAAAACAATAACCTTTCCATGTAGGTCAGCCTTGCAGAGGGTTCCATTTCACAACTACGTCATGGTCTAGCCACTTTTCTTTTTAAGAGACCATCATGGACCTGCCTGTGGCCTGGTGATTAAATGGCTAGACCCCACATGGCCAACCACACAGTTCAGTCCTGGACCCGGCAGCTTAGAAAACACATCAGGAACATGTGCATGCATGCCCAAAATCTTGGAAGGAGGGACATGTGGAAGAGAAGGGACTGCAGTGTGACTGTGTCCCATGGGAGACACTTTCTTGTTTTCCCTCTGTCTCTCTTCAGGGAGAGACAAAGAAAGAAAAAGAGACACTCACTAACATACATATCCGCCCAAAGGCTTATACATAAAGGTTCAAAGCAGCTTCATTCATAATACAGGTTAAGCATCCTTTATTTGAGATGTTTGGGACTAAAACTCCTTTGGATTTTGGAATTTCTTTCCTTCAGATTTTGAAGTATCTGTGATTATGTAATGACACGTCTTGGAGATGGGACCCACGCCCATACACAAAATCATTCATGTTACATACACATCTTATATACACAGTCGGAAGGTGATTTTAAACAATATTCTTGTATTGTAGCGTTTGACTGTGACTCTTCACACGAGATGTAGAATTTTCCACTTGTGGGATCATGTTGCCCCTCAAAAAGCTTCAGATTTTGAAGAACTGCAGATTTCGTAATTTGGGGTTAGGAAAGCTCAAACTGTAGCCCCAAATTAGAAACATTGACCAGGCCCTTGGGACCAGCAGTTGGTGTAATGGCTATGTCACTGGACTCCCATGTAGTCGACTGCGGTTCAAGTCCCGGACCCGGTGGCTTAAAATTATGCCAGGTCCATGTGTGTGCATGCCCAAGATCCCAAGAGAAGAATGGAGGAGAAGGGATTGTGGCATGGCCATCCCTCCTGGGGGGGTGATTTCTCGTTTTCTCTCTCTCCATCTCTCTCTGTCTTTCTGGAGAGTGCACGTGCCCTATAGCAAAAAACCTCTCTCAAAAACAAAACAAAAAACAAAAAACAAGGAAGAACACACACCAGCACAGCTCTGTGGACCAGAGGAAGGCAGATGCAGACTGCCTGTACATATCCCCCAATTCTAGACAAGGAAACTGGTGAGCGGAAGCAGGTCAGGGTATCCACCAGCCAGGGCAGGATCTGGCCACAGAGGGGCATGAGGAACACAGGCAGGTGACGGGTGTGGTGATGAGACTAGATAACTGTCAGTCTGCAAACTGCACAAACTGGTAAAATTCAGTGTAAACTAGGCCTC